ATATGTTATACATATAAGCTGTATGTATAAGGTTATAACTTTTTTAATAGGAGCTTCCATAGTCACATGTGCTTTATCGTGACTACCCTGAAGTGTATTTTCAGGTGACTTAAAATGTCCAGTTCATTTTTACTATTGTACTTCATTCAAAACTCATCAAAATTTAAAAAAGAGAATTATTTCAACATGTTTCAACAGTTTTCATTTTAATGTAACAATTTGTATTTACACATGGTAAAATTTTGTCATGTTAAGTGCCTTTAACATAAAATAAACATAAAACCTTGCACAAAACAAATATGTTTTATTTGTAGTGGCTTGGGTATATTTTGTCAATGAATCCAAATAATGAAATTATTTTGCATGTGGAAAAATGAATATCCAATACAATATTTATTATATCAAAATCAGTGATTGCTAAACAAAGAAGCTATATAGACAGGTTATTATTCACAACTGTTATAGCATCCTTTTGAGGGCTATATTGTTTTTTGAATTGGAGCTCCCGAAGATGATCCTTATGAAATATTTATATACAACTTGAAATGTCTGATTAACTTTGAATATGAAAAGTAATTTGAAATGATTATTCAACCCAATCTAGTGATGTTTCTGTGGTTTCACCAAAGAGTTGTGAGAATATTACAAGAAATGCTACCATGGTTACAAGTAAAAATGTGACTGCAAATACTCTATCAATAATCATAGCAATTTGTATCCATTCCTGTCTCTTTGTTTCCATTTCATTATTTTTCTTAGTGAGTTCATGTTTCTCTAAACGCATTTTATGCAACAATTTGTATAGTTGATTAATTTTACTTGAGACGTGACTATTTTCAGTTGGTTCTAATATTTCATTTTCATTATGGTATCCCTCGTTAATGTGGCAAGCCATTTGGAGTGTATCATTAGCGGTAAATCTTGTTGTAAATCTTTCAGGTATCTTATTTTCAATATGTACACTGAAGCATCTCCCTATAGACTTAAAACATCTAATTAATATAGAATTGGTGAACTGTGGCCCATTGTAATGAATGTTTAGACTTAAGATTGTAAGAATGACGTTCATTACCATCATGACAAGGATAAAGCCAATGTACTGACTAATGAGGGGTATATAGTCAGACTGCCTGGGAATCGTATCTGACACTGTCACCTGTAACACTGTCATTGAGAGAAGCACCATGATAGCCAATGGTGCCCTTGACCCTGATGTAATGGGCATCAAGAATCCCAATGTGCTTAGTATAAGTAAAAATGAACACGGCACTATGAGATTCAGAATATGGAACAGAGGCTTCCGTTTAATTGTGAGGACATATTGGATGTCTACATAAGGCTCGGGACAGCATAGATATTTCATCACATTTCTCTTAACTTCAAAATTCATAAAGATCCACTCTCCATTCGGGAATGTAAAACTCTGGGTGTCTCTTTTTGCATCCATGGGATATGTATTCAGTTCATTTCCATTATATGTCCAGGATCCAAAGTATAAAGCGCATTTCTGAGTGTCAAAGGGAAACAGAGCGATCTCAAAGTCACATGATGTTTTAATGACACCTGGGAAAAGCCAGGTGATATCACCATTGTGATGGACAATCACAGGTATGGTATTTGCATACTCATGAAGGGATGAAAACTCTTCATTCAGACTGTTATGTAACACAATATCAGGTGTCCATACTTCAGTTGTCTTCAGATGTAATCTTGTGATGTTCCCATAATCCTTTGGGTTCCATAGCAGACGGATATCATTCCAGTAGAATCTGAACCAAACACTAAGTTTAACCAATTTGTTTCTTTCATCCAAATGATACATATTCCGTATTGACATACCCATTGTAAGGTTTGTTGTCTCATTCAGCTGTGGTCTTGAGCTCGCCATATATCCTGTGAATAACTTTTCTTGGAGCAATGAATCCCATTTCTCCCCAAATACTTGTTGATTTTCATAAACTATTAGAGCAGCGAAAAGAAGACAAAGTTTTGGCTGCATTTTGTTAATGTTTTATCAGTTGTTCACCAACAATTTGTATTGTGTGTATTTCTATATTTTGGCTTTAACCATAAGCTTGCAGCATTCAGATAGTTTAGATTTATTTTCCAATGAACGACGTGCTGTTTCCATTCATTTGCCTTTGCAGAAGGTAATCCCATGTGTAAACTTTATTATATATTAATCATTAGAGTCATAATAAGGTTCCTTCATCCAGCATTCCTTTGAATTCCTCCTGATTTTATTTTACAAAAATTATAAATCAATCCAACAAGGAATACAAGGCACTTTATGTAAAATACTACAATGAATACGTGATTGAGAGAATAAGGTGCAGACACTATAATACCATATCAAGATTAACATAGAATATATTATTCATACCCTAATGGATCACTTTAATCATGAAAATAGGCACATAATGGCAATGAATACAAGTCAAAGGCCTCGTATCAATAATCTTGTTTTGAACCAATAAACTGGACTGTAGACAGTAGAGATTTAACAATACACCATATTTATATTGATAGGATCATTGCATTTAGTTGCTAAAAATAACATTTGCCCAAATGTGTCACCAAATACAAGTAGAAATGACATATCACTAGTGCAACAAGTATCCGCTCTTTTTTATCATCAAATGCTTTCTCCCGCTGAATTTCATGTCTTCCAAAATGAGCAGCAATGTTGAGGCATCATATAATTTAGACACATCATTTTTTATGTCACCACCAAGAAGTGGTGACATATTGTTATGGTCTCTGTTTTTTTGGCGGCAATTGGCGATCGGTGGGTAGCGGTCTGTAACTAACAAATTCTTACAACTTCCAATAACTTAACAAATACTGTTTAGACTGACTTCAAATTTTTTCTAAATCTCCCAAGCCTTATATTATCCCAGCCCTGTCAACACCTAAAATGAGTGACTTACAAAGAAAGAAAAAAAAGGAAAGAAGAAAAATATAAGCAAATGCATTACTTATACACAATTTGTATGAAAATTCTTAACGAAATGTGTACAATTTTTTTGGCGTTCATTTTCCGACATTTGTTTTTTGATGTTCTTCTCCTGAAAAATTTTGGTTGATAATAATAACAAAAAATGCGTATTTGCGTGACATATTCTGTCATGCAAAAAATGGGTGTGACTTCAATTTCTTCAGCAAATGCGTGACAAATACATAAATTGCGTGACAGTTGGAAGGCCTGATACCAGTTGTCAGATTTGGTGTAGATTTTATGTGCCAATGATGTTTTCTGATAAGGCAAATATTAGATTGTTCAAAAATTTAAAGGTTATTACCCCATATTGAGAAATATTGATCAGAATTTTCATCCACTATTATCAAAAAGGGTCTTAATTCCCAAATGGGATCACGGGATCACTTAATCTCAGGTGGGAGGCCTCATCAGTGTTGCATGTCACATGCAAAATCAGTCACCTCTGGCATTAATTATTGCATTATACAAACCTGTAGTTCATTTGATATTAACCTAATCGCGAGCAACAATGCAAATGTATTATAGAACCCAATTATTTACTAAATCTAGTATACAGGGTGTCCATTAGTTTCTTTACAATGCTATACAAGTGTGTAAAGCATAAAGAGACTACTGTATATGGATACCTTGTATATCTGTCATTTATGTCTCCATGGAACAGAGTGAGCCATTTCGCATGTTAAGGTAACAGGATGATCCTGTATATCTGTCAAGTATATCTATATCTCCAAACATCATCAAAGTTCTTGGAAGAACTTTATGACTCACTTTTATTGAAATGGAGTATATAATTTGTTCAGTATCACTAGAACGGATTTAATCAATAATTTGTTTCCTATTTCCATTTGTTTTATACAGACTTCTTCCGTTTAATAATTTTTAATACTCATTCTCTGGAACCATGATCAACTGCATTGTAAAAACCTTAGAATAGAAAATCAGAGAATTGCAAATAATATAACATAACATATTAAGATGTTAAATACAACAAGGTGTTTATATAATATGAGTAGTTGATTTTTAAACTTAAATTATTTGGATAAATACAGAAACAAATATTCCAGTGGAAACAAAAAAGAAAAACAATGCAAAAAAACGATCAGTTACCATAGCAACCATCATCCATTTCTCTTTGATTTTATTTTGTTGTTCTTGGTGTCTTAGTTTTTCAATCTTATCTTGGTTAGCAACAATTAACAGTTTATAGATATTGGTAGCCACCAAAGATTTCCCCAACAACCTTGTCCAGATTTAGAGGATTAAGGTGTTGGTTACCATGGTAACTATGCATTCTGACATTTACAATTTTTTGTTCATTCTCCATATTTATTTCTCTATTTGTTAGAACCTCATCATTTTCTTCTTCTTTTGATTTTGGTAATGTCTTGCAAACTAACCGTCCAAATACTCCAAGCATTACATTCCTTGTCATGTGTGACATTCTGTTGCCATAGTGACCCCTGTAATGGATATTGAGGCTCCCTATGGTGAGAATAACATTGAGCGACATCATGAGAAGGATGTAGCCAATGTACTGACTTATAAGCTTATTTATTTATTTATTTATTTTAGTTTTCATTTGTCCATTATTTGTAAACATATTATTTATATGTTTCCTGTCTGCTTTTGATTTTGGTAATGTCTTGCAAACTAACCGTCCAAATACTCCAAGCATTACATTCCTTGTCATGTTTGACATCCTGTTGCCATAGTGATCCCTGTAATAGATATTGAGACTTACAATGGTGAGAATCACATTTAGAGACATAAAGAGGAGGATGTAACCAATGTACTGACTTATAAGCGGTGTATTCTCACTCTGTATTGGTATAGTGGATGATACATTCAACTGGAGAACTGTCATTGATAACAGTACCATGATAGACAGAGGTGCTCTTGCTCCTGATGCTATTGGCATTAGGAATCCCATGATGCTCACAATCAGGAGCAATCCACATGGGATAATCAAGTTGTAAATATAAAACAATGGTTTACGTTTCAATACCATTGTATAGGTCAGGTCAACATAGGGATCAGGGCAACATCTATAAATCAAAACAGTTCTCTTAACTGGAAATTCTAAAAGGTCCCATTCTCCGTGTTGTAAAAATGCCCATAATCTCCATGGTCCTCTTGAGTAAAGAGATCGAGTTGGTTTCCAGTAAGTATCTATGATCCAAACTGTATTGGGCAGCGGTAAGTGTGAAATGGGAACAACATCATGTCAATTTTACATGAAGTCATTATGATGCTGGGAGTTAACCGTTGAATGTCACCAGTGTGCTCAGCCTTAACCAAGATATCCTTACTGTATTGTTTAATGGAAAGTGGTCTATCATTTGCATTATTGTACAATGTGATATCTGGCAACCATGTTTGTTCTACAGAAAAGTAGGTTTCAGTCATACCTCCATAGGTATCAGGATTCCAAGTCAGACGATTGTCCTTCCAATAGAAACAAAACCAAACTGTTATTAGAAATTAGAAGCGTCTGTTTGCGCTCATCCATCTCAAGGAGCTGGTTGATGGCTAAGCTTGATATGACATCTGTTTTATTGTGTGGTCGATTTGTCACACTATAGTTCGCCATCAAATCATCATGTAGTCTCATGTCATGGTTCCAGTCACAATATACGAGGGAAAGATAGAATACAAATGTTGTTGATTTGATGATGAAATCTCTTGCCGTTTTGATAATTTAACTGGATTTATATCTATTATACTTCATGAAATATGTACTTGCATTTTCCTCTGCAATTATTAATATTTTTTCTCTTATTTGGTTTTGTATGTTCACTAACCTGTATTTTTTAATTTGTACCTTCAATCATTTATACATGAGAGTTACAAACCCCAAAACTACCTCAGCCAGCATTTAGTATTTTTAGTATAAATACTCCTTCAAGTATGCCCTCCATCTCCAATAGTCTCTTGAGTTTCATGTTTCATAATTCTGCTTTAAATGACAATTTATTTTCAATTATACTAATTTCACTTAGTGGGCTGTATCGTCACAAGCACAAAGTCGCAACAAAATATAAAGGAATAACAATAAGGTTGAAGAAGTGACAAGAACATTTATTGTTTAATATAGATGTTAATGAATCATATATACAATAGGCTTAAAACTTCCTCCTCCTTCTTTACATCCACAGCATGGAATTACTGTTTGTATCTGTTTTATTTTTTATCATAAAATGTTTTACTTATTTATTTATCACTCATGGCTTCATTTAAATCCTTGTGATTCTACAAACAAATATTATTTGTGTATGTTTAAGGATTTAAGCCCTTGACTCAGTGCATTGTATGCTGAATCATACCAAGAAGGTGTTGTTTCCAAATCTTTGCATGACTGTGCAGCGGGAATGCAAAGTTTAGGAAACAATGCCTGAGTGGAATGAAGCAGCTACAATGCATCGAGTCTTGGGCTTAAATTCTTTTCACAGCAAAATATTTTCTCCAAAATCATCTAAAAGAACATATTGTCAATGACATATTATGCAAGGGTCAAGTTGGCAAGTCACCAAATCCAATGTGAGAAGTCCATTCATCACCATGACAATTGTTTAACTGGTGACCTTGCATGTGTTATTGATATTTCACAAACTGTTCATTATGTGATATACTCTGTTCTGATTGGCTGGAATCGGACACACCTTGCCTAGCTATGTGTGAATTGTATATAACATATTTTAAACAATCATATAAACTGCAGTTACAATTTAATATGGTTCAATAAAACAAATATGAGCCAACATTTTTTGATATAAACTACATTTGTGCATGACAAACAACTCTTAAACTGCTTTGGAAAACAATCATAACAGTTAAGAATGTCTTGATAGAACGATCTGTCAGTTTATGCTTCAATCTGTCCATGAAATTAAATGAATTGTTACCACTCAACAAAATATTAATTTTGCTGGACAATCAACAAATTAACACCCTTCAAACAAAATCAACAATGCCTCCTTAAGCTCAAATTAACTGGAGAAATATAGAAAGAAATGTAACAATAGAAATAAAAAAGAAAAAGATTGCAAATAAACGATCAGTTACCATAGCAACCATCATCCACTTTTCTCTGGTTTTTCTTTGATCTTCTTGTTTGTTCATTTTCTCAACCTTGCTTTGGTGAACAACACTTAATAGTTTATAGATATTAGAAAGTACAAATTGTTGTTTTTCAGGGGTTGTTCCCTCATCAGTATCATCTATATTCACAGGAGATGGATTTTGGTTACCACAACCAACATGATTTCTAAAATTTTCCATAGTTTCTTCATTTTTCATTGGTTCATCATTTGTAACTGCATTATGGATACCATGTTTCCTGTCTGCTTTTGATTTTGGTTTTGTCTTGCAAACTAACCGTCCCAATACTCCAAGCATTACTTTCCTTGTCATGTCTGACATTCTGTTGCCATAGTGACCCCTGTAGTGGATATTGAGGCTCCCTATGGTGAGAATCACATTGAGGGACATAATGAGGAGGATGTAGCCGATGTACTGACTTATAAGTGGTGTATTATCACTTTGTTGGGGTATAGTGGATGAAACGTTCAACTGGAGTACTGTCATTGACAAGAGTACCATGATAGACAGAGGTGCTCTTGCTCCTGATGCTATTGGCATTAGGAATCCCATGATGCTCACAATCAGGAGCAATCCACATGGGATAATCAAGTTGTAAATATAAAACAATGGTTTGTGTTTCAACACCATTGTATAGGTCAGGTCAACATAGGGATCAGGGCAACACTTATAATACATTACATTTTTCTTAGCTGGAAATTCTAAAAGGTCCCATTCTCCATGTTGTAAAAATGGCTCATAATCTCCATGGTCCTCTCGGGTAAAGAGATCAAGTTGGTTTCCAGTAAGTATCCATGATCCAAACTGTATTGGGCAGCGCTGAGTATCGAAAGGGAATGACGTCATGTCTATTTTACATGATGTCATTATGATGCCAGGAGTTAACCATCGTATGTCACCAGTGTGGTCAGCCCTAACATAAATATCCTCACTGTATTGTTTAATGGATGAAGGTTTATCATTTGCATTATTATACAATGTGATATCTGGCAACCATATTTCATCAACAGAAAAGTAGGACTCAGTCATACCTCCATAGTCATCAGGATCCCAGGTTAAACGATTGTCATTCCAATAGAAACGAAACCAAACTGTTATGAGTAATGTCTGCTTGCGTTCATCCATCTCCAAAAGTTGATTGATAGCAAAGCTTGATACCACATCTGTTTTATTGTGTGGTCTGTTCGTCACACTGTAGTTCGCCATCAAATCATTATGTAGTCTCCTCAAATTATGGTTCCAGTTACAATTCACAATGCAGACACATTGTGCAATTGTAATAAATAGTATTATTAATTTCATCATTTTGATTATTAAGACTAATTTTTTGTCAATTTTAGTATTTTTTGTCAATTTTACTTGTCTTCTTACAAATAAATTTTACATTGTTCTCTTGAAGGTATTCAATTGTCCTTTTTACATTGTATCATCCTTTTTGTCTGTTCAGGTACATTTATCTTTGGGCTACTTTATTGATATTAAGAATGGTCTGTTTTAAAATGCCTCACATCCCCACCGATAGTTCTGAACATTTCAAACCTTCTGCATCAGCACCGATTCCCAGATGACTCTCTCACTCAAACTTAGTTGATACTATATTAGCTTTTATATTTTAGCTAAGTATTTTATCAGGATTATATTTGAATAATGGTTATCTATATCTTGTTTATGTTATTATTGACAATAGGCACCCATCACCCTGCATGCAGTCTACAAAGGTTTCTTTTTAAGAAGTCAAACGAATGGTAAGGTTAGTCACTCATTTATCTGCATGATGCTTTCATGTAGAATAGGGGATCATATAATAAAAATTAATTATTGACACAGACATTCATGTTCCATTATGTTCACTTACAGTTATTCTTGTATTAGCACCTGCAGCCATTTGTACAAGATGATTTGAGGCCTTCAAGAGGAAAATATAGCAAAATTAGGAATATCCCAGCATATATTAGTTTAGTTATTAAATTTATGTGCTTTAATAGCCTATTAGGTTTCATGTTTCTCCATCTGCTTATTATCCCATCGAACGAAGTTTGGAGTGATATAGGGAACACCTTCGGCCATCCATCCGTCCGTCCGCAAATATTCAGTGGAGGAGATTTCCCAAAGTTTGTAGCTATGTAGAATCAACATGTCACAGCAGTAGCCGGGGGGGGGGGGGGGGGGGGGGGGGGTAGTTCGCAGGGTTCGGGCCAAAAATTTGTTTGGGCTACCTTTTTTGGCTCACCCTGTAATAACGACAAACATAGGTTTATATATTTCTATGTAATGTTTTTCCTTTCATTGTGTGTTTGTCTGTGGGACACAACTTTGAAAAATGCAATTACCCACTCGTGCACATGTGTTATTCAACGGTATTAGATGATACATATATTCATTGTACTATTGATTCAGTAATCTTTGCACTGATTTATATACTTTTTGCCCATTTGTTCAATTGATGCAATTGACTTGTGTAACACATTCTCATTGGTCACTGAATATGGAATATATCCACCTGCAGAATTTGACATATTCACCTGCGGAATATATTTCTTACATGAGTTTACCGCATTACATCATGATTGATTCGGATATTCAATTACTAGATATAGTATATTTATAAAACTTGCAATTAAACATGCCACAAGTAAGTAGGAAAATGATACAATAGAATAACAAAAAGGTTGAAGAAGTGACAAGAACATTTATTGTTTAATAATAGATGTTTATACATCAGATTCATAATAGGTAATTGTAGTAGAACTCTTTTCAATCACTGTTTGTGTATTATATCCTTTTCCATTGATTCTTTTTTCAATGTTGAATCAATTATTTATTCTTTATTTCATGGTTTTAAAAATGCTTGTTATTCAACATATATACATGTTGGTACATCAATTCAATTCAATTCAATTTCAAAATAATTTATTTCAGTTTTCATTACAAAAATTACAACATTATACAGGCTATGACACCCCAGGGGGTGTATGACTGCCCATAATTAAATTTACAATAAAACATGATAAACTGTGAACATTTAAAGTGGTACATAGGTCAATACAATAATATAATATAAATACAATATACAAATACAATAATATGAGACAATAAAGAAATGAAATAAATGTTTTGGTTACTCTGTACTCAGGAGGTCAGTTTTCAAACGAGATATGAGTGAATATAATGGTTTATTTCTAATATCTTCATTGAGGGAATTCCATATATATGAACCATGGACCTTAATAGAATTTTCACCAATTCTGGTTCTATGTTTAGGAATATCTAAGTTATGACCAAATCGAGTTATACGTTGATGTATGTTTTCTCTAGTTTTGAAATAGTGATCGTATAATTTTGAAGGGAACTGTACAGATTTGCTTATAACTTTTTTCATGAATGAAACAGTTTGGATTGTGTGAATATGATAAATATTAAGTATTTTAAGATCTTGAAAAATTGGGAATGTGTGAGCTAATCTATCTGAATTTGTTATTAATCTAACAAATTTCTTTTGCAATATCAGTAGTTTATTTAATAAATTCTTACAAGCATTTCCCCATAAAATATTACAGTAATTAAGATGAGAAAAAATCAGAGAGTTATATATTATCATCTTTGAATTTAAAGTATGAGCATAATTTGTTCGATATAACATTCCTATAACATTTGAAACTTTTCTATGAAGAGCATTGATATGGGGAGCCCAAGATAATTTTGAATTAATAATTACTCCCAGGAATCCTATCTCATCTACTTTTTCAAGGTTAGAATTTGCAATTTTTATTTCATTGTTCACAGATATATTTCTTTTATTTCCAAAGACCATGTATTTTGTTTTCTTAACATTTAAAGTGAGTTTATTGGCCAACAACCAATCATTGATGTCACACAGTTCAGAATTTACGGTTGTGGTCAAATTATCAAGATTGGAATCACTACATAATATATTAGTGTCATCCGCATAAATCACCAGTTTGAGTTTATCAGAAACTAGATAGAAATCATTTACAAATATGATAAATAGGAGGGGGCCTAGAACAGACCCTTGGGGTACTCCACAGTTAACGATTGCTTCTTCAGACAAATATTTCTCGGATAAACTTTTAGAGTATTCAGTTTTCATTTTTCGATTTGATAAATAAGATGAAAACCATGAAAGTGCAATTCCTCTTATACCATAATGTTCCATTTTATTAAGTAATATTGCATGATTAACAGTATCAAAAGCTTTTGATAGATCCAAATATATTCCGATACAATATTCTTTGTTATCTAATGAATGTCTGACATTTTCAATAAATTCTAGGAGTGCCATGTAAGTTGATCTAGTTTCCGAAAGCCGTACTGGTGTAAATACAATAATTCATATTTCTCTAAAAAAGTAGATACTTTGTCATGCATTATTTTTTCAAACATCTTAGCAAATACACTTAAATACATGGTATATTTATAACAAGTAAAGCATACTTATCACAGTTATGCTCTAGTTCAGTATATTGCTAACACAAACACAGGCCCATAGCCAGGGACTTGATATTTTGGACCAAAAAACGAACCCCCTGGAATTTTTGAAAAAGTCAAACCCCCCTCTCAATAGCTGGCTACGGGCGTGTAAGATATAATTCAATATAACAATATGCGCTAACACTTTTATGAAAAGGGATTCTATGACCACATTTGTGCATGGCAAAATAAATACTACCATACTACTTTAAAAGACAATAACAGTCAAGAATTTATTATCCCATCGAACGAAGTTCGAGGGGGATATAGGAAAGCTGTTCATCTATCCGTTTGTCCGTCTGTCCGTTCGTGTGTCCGGGCAATAACTCAAATACCGGTCAACGGATTTCATTCAAATTTTATAGGCTTATGCCTTATTGATGTAGGAACTACGCTCGAGAAGGAATTGACAGGGGCTTGATATTTTGGACCAAAAAATGAACCCCCTGGAATTTTTGAAAAAGTCAAACCCCTCACAATAGCTGGCTACGGGCGTGTAAGATATAATTCAATATAACAATATGTACCAACATTTTCATGAAAAAGGATTCTATGACTACATTTGTGCATGGCAAAATAAATACTACCATATTACTTTAAAAGACAATAACAGTCAAGAATTAATTGATATGTAGAATTTATCAGTTTCATGCTTAAGTGTCCTTGAAATCAGCAGTTTTTATAACGCCATCAATGGGATATAGTTGTCACAGTCGTCGTGATCATGATTGTTATCGTCCCGCTTTTTTTGCATCGTCATTTCAGCAAAACCACTCATCAGATTTTCTCCAAATTCTCACACACATGGATGTTACATTTGCATGAATGAATGAATTTGTAAGTAGATACAATATAAGAGATCCAAAAACACCTACCGGTATATACACCTTTTTATTTAAACTAAATGAATTGTTACCACTCAACAAAGTATTAATTTTGGTTAATTTTACTGTTCAATCAATAAACACCCTTAAAACTGGCAAAGCCTCCTTACGCTCAAATTAACTGGAGAAATATAGAAAAAAATGTAACAATTGAAGTGAAAAAGAAAAAGATTGCAAATAAATGATCAGTTACCATAGCAACCATCATCCATTCTTCTCTGGTTTTTCTTTCTTCTTCTTCTTGTCTCTTTTTTTCAGTTTTGCTTTCGTGAGCAACAATTAATAGTTTATTGATATTATTATGTACAAGGATTCTTTCATCATCAATCCCATCTGTATTCACAGGATTTAGATCTTGGTTGCCACTATAGCCACTCTTTTTGAAATTTTCCATATTTCCTTCAGTTTTCATTTGTCCATTATTTGTTACCAGATCATTTATGATATGCTTCCTGTCTGCTTTTGATTTTGGTAATGTCTTGCAAACTAGTCCCCCCAATACTCCAAGCATCACTTTCCTTGTCATGTCTGACATTCTGTTGCCATAGTGACCTCTGTAATGGATATTGAGGCTCCCTATGGTGAGAATCACATTGAGCGACATCATGAGAAGGATGTAGCCAATGTACTGACTTATAAGCGGTGTATTCTCACTCTGTATGGGTATAGTGGATGAAACGTTCAACTGGAGTACTGTCATTGACAACAGTACCATGATAGACAGAGGGGCTCTTGTTCCTGATGCTATTGGCATTAGGAATCCCATGATGCTCACAATCAGGAGCAATCCACATGGGATAATCAAGTTGTAAATATAAAACAATGGTTTACGTTTCAACACCATTGTATAGGTCAGGTCAACATAGGGATCAGGGCAACAATTATAAAACATTACATTTCTCTTAGCAGGAAATTCTAAAAGGTTCCATTCCCCATGTTGTAAAAATACCTTATAATCGCCATGGTCCTCTCGGGTAAAGAGATCAAGTTGGTTTCCAGTAAGCATCCATGATCCATACTGTATTGGGCAGCGCTGAGTGTCAAATGGGAACAGCATCATGTCAATTTTACATGATGTCATTATGATGCTGGGAAATAACCATCGTATGTCCCCAGTAAAGTCAGCCCTAACAAAAATATCCTCACTGTATTGTTTAATGGATGAAGGTTTATCATTTGCATTATTGAACAATGTGATATCTGGTAACCATATTTCATCAACAGAAAAGTAGGACTCAGTCATACCTCCATAGTCATCAGGATCCCACGTTAAGCGATCATCATTCCAATAGAAACGAAACCAAACTGTTATGAGTAATGTCTGCTTGCGTTCATCCATCTCCTAAAGTTGATTGACAGCAAAGCTTGATACAACATCTGTTTTATTGTGTGGTCTGTTCGTCACACTGTAATTAGCCATCAAATCATTATGTAGTCTCCTCAAATCATGGTTCCAGTCACAATACACAATGCAGACACAATGTGCAATTGTAATTAATAGTATTATTAATTTCATCATTTTGATTATTAAGACTAATTTTGTCTGTTTCATTAGTCTTTTTACAAATACATTTTTCTCTTTAAGTAACTCGATTTGTTCTTTCTACCCTGTATTATCCTGTTTGTCTATATTCATGTACAATTATCTTTAGGCCACTTCATTAATATTTAGAATGGTCTGTTTTCAAATGCCTTACATCCTCAACGATGATTTTGAACATAACCTTCTTCTGCACAAACATCAATTCCCAAATGACTCTGTCATTCTACATCTAACTTAGTTGATACTTCAGTAGCTTTTTATGTTTTATTTTAGTGGCACATTACATTTAGATAATGGTTATCTATAATAATCTGGTTCATGTTTTAATCGAAAATTATCACGAATATAGTTGTTACATGCATTAAAATTAATCATTGACAGATATTTATCCTTGGTTGATGTATTGCTTTGTTATATTTACAAATCCAAAGAAGTGTCAGTCAATTTATTGTCAGCTTTAAGAATTCGAAGATGAAATTTTTTCTATGGTAGTCCTTTATGTTTTTTCCATAAATGAAGAGGTTTCAAATATTACTTGTGAAAGATCCTCAAGTATTCACCACAACAGAATGAAATATTTTGTCTTATTTTATTGAAAATTAATATTGAAAAGCACTTAGGGGATCATATGACAAATAAAAATTTGAAACCGACATTTATCCTTGGTTGCTATGTTCCTTTGTTATGTTTACCAAATCCAAAGATGCATCAGTCGATTCATTGTCTATCCTAAGAATTGGAAGATAAAACATATAGTACAATATAATGCACGATTACAAAATAAAGACACCTGGAACTGTAAATTACATCACTTCATTTAATGCTAAAAATATTTTCCCTTTTTTTATAATCTCGCCACCAAAAGTGATGACGTATTGTCATGGTCTCTGTTTTTTGTGATACTGGTTGGCGGTGGTTGGCGATCAGTCTGTAACAAATTCTTACAATTTAATTCCAATAACTTAACAAATACTGTTAAGACTGACTTCAATTTTATTTCAAAACACAACTATATGTATAACATATACAAGTTATCAGAAGTTTAAATGTGACTTTAGATTTGTGATTGACCTTCAATGACCTTCTCAAGGTCAAAAATGTATTTTTTCAACTTGCTTCAAATTGACCATTTTTTCAAAATCAACTACAAGTTCTCTGAAGTTCAAATTCGACTTTATATATGAGATCTGACTTTCAATGACCTTATAAGATCATAAAAGTCTTTTTTTTCAAAATCATCTACAAGTTTTCAGAAGTTCCAATATGACTTTAGCCCTTCAATGAATCTGACTTTAGATTTAAGACTTGACCTTCAATGGCCTTCTCAAGGAAAAAAAGGTCAAAAAGGTATTTTTTCAACTTTACCAATTTTTCTTTTTAAAATCATCTACAAGTTCTCAGATGTTCAAATCTGACTTAGATTGAACTCATATGTTGTAAGCAACTAGGTGGTGACATTTTGTCATGTTAAAAGGGCAACAAGAACTGTTGAGAGAAAAATTGACACATTTTACCTTTTCTGAGCTATCAGGGTGGCGTATGGTTTAGCATCTTCTTTGTTCCTATTTTATAAAATATATGGGTGTGCCACCAGTAGAACTGACAAATTATTTAAAATTCCTTATTCTATACAAAGAGTCCCATTTATAAAAATTTGTATATATGGAAAATAGATACATTTTTAAAGGCAATAACACATTCAAAGCTTTTATTTTACGATAGGCCCTGGATCACTGGGTACAACTCAGCAGTCCTTGTTGCTACTTAAATGTCTTGTTGTAAGTGCCCTATTAATAATGCACAGGTGTTCACCTCAACAGAAAAAAATATTTTGTCATATTCTATTGAAAAGCAGTTAGGGAAATTAATATTGAAAATCACAACCAATACTAGAAAGCAAACCATAAAATCCCAGCCAATGATCTAACATACAAGGAAACAGTGTCAAAAGACCCTTCTCCTTTTATATACAATATTTGAGGATTGCTTGGTCATTGGTCAGTAAAAGCATCAATAAATAAACAATTTCTTAAATGAAAGAAATAAGTGTTTATTTAAAGTCTTTTATACATTGAAGCCAGTTTAAGATGATCCGCCTTTTTTGTGACCAATTTTTGTAAACATTTAAATTGAAAATGAAATATTAGGAATCACATGGTTACTAAATATAATACCAAATAATTTTCCATTTGAGTTGTTGAGGTTCAATCTCACTTAGCATTGATTTTACGAGTATGTAATAATGTAGGTATGTTATGTTGTTATGTTTAGTCCCTTAATGTATTCTATAAATTTGTCACGAAACAAAGTAATGCAGTATTGTAATAGTAGGCTAAGTGATGATTCACATTGATTTCTACCAATTTTGCTTAAAATATCTGATTATTGAATAATTGTTGAATTATGATGGCATGATATTTGGAAATGTGACTCATGGAGAATAAAACGTCAGATAGAGGTTGTGAAAAAGTTTTCCTTAACTTTGATAGAAATTTATTTATTTAGCATATATTGGTTGGGACAAAGTTAAGCCATACATCCCCACTCTGAGTATGGCTATACTTTTTAAACCAGTGCAGGACAAACTTTATTTCCATTTTGAGGTACATATATCTGAAGTCAAATATAAATGATAACAGGACTGTTTCACATCCTCTAACATCATGTATTTATGTAACCTTGACCATGCATTTATGAAATAACCTCTTTAAACTAACTGCAGAAAGATAGAGAGAAATGTTACAAATGAAATAAAAAAGAAAAATAATGCAAATAAGCGATCTGTTACCATGGCAACCATCATCCATTCTTCCCTGATTTTTCTTTGTTCATCTTGATGTTTAACTTTTTCAATCTTGTTTTGGTGTCCAAAGATTAATAGCTTGTTGATGTTAGATAGTGCATATTGATTTTTGTCAGTTATTTCAATGTTATCATCCATATGAACAACATTTGGAATTTCATTACCTTTGTTACCACACAATTTCAAGTTTTCTATATTTCTTGAATTCCCCATTGTTCCATCATTTGCGATAACCACATTAGTTTCTTTGTGTTTCATGTCTGCTTTTGATATTGGTATTGTCTTGCAAACTAACCTTCCCAATACTCCAAGCATTACTTTCCTTGTGGTTTGTGACATTCTGTTGCCATAGTGACCTCTGTAATGGATATTGAGGCTCCCTATGGTGAGAATCACATTGAGCGACATCATGAGAAGGATGTAGCCAATGTACTGACTTATAAGCGGTGTATTCTCACTCTGTATGGGTATAGTGGATGAAACATTCAACTGGAGTACTGTCATTGACAACAGTACCATGATAGACAGAGGTGCTCTTGCTCCTGATGCTATTGGCATTAGGAATCCCATGATGCTCACAATCAGGAGCAATCCACATGGGATAATCAAGTTGTAAATATAAAACAATGGTTTACGTTTCAACACCATTGTATAAGACAAGTCAACATAAGGCTCGGGGCAACAATTATAAATTAGTACATTTCTTTTAGCTGGAAACTCTAAGAGGTCCCATTCTCCGTGTTGTAAAAAAACTCCAAAGTCCCCCTGGTCATCTTGCGTTAAGAGGTCTAGTTGGTTGCCATTGAGTGTCCATGACCCATACTGTATTGGGCAGCGCTGAGTGTCAAAAGGGAACAACATCATGTCTATTTGACATGATGTCTTTATGATGCCGGGGACTAACCATCGTATGTCACCAGTATGGTCAACCCTAACAAGGATATCCTCACTGTATTGTTTAATGGATGAACGTTTATCATTTGCATTATTGTACAATGTGATATCTGGCAACCATATTTCATCAACAGACAAATAGGTCTCTGTCATACCTCCATAGGCATCAGGATTCCAAGTGAGACGAATGTCCGTCCAATAGAAACGAAACCAAACTGTTATTAGAAGTGTCTGTTTGCGTTCATCCATCTCAAGGAGCTGGTTAATGGCTAAGCTTGATATGACATCTGTTTTATTGTGTGGTCGATTTGTCACACTATAGTTCGCCATCAAATCATCATGTAGTCTCATGTCATGGTTCCAGTCACAATACACAATGCAGATATTGCATCCAATTGTTGCCAGTATTATCATTAATTTCACAACCATGATGATCATAAGATGTAAGCCTTTACTTAGTCAAACTGACTTTATCATCTGAAATCAATTTCATTCTATTTGTGTCCTTGTGTCTCATGTCAGCAAAATTGTAAGTCACAAATCTACTTTGCTGTAGCTGTTGCTAATGAGTCACTCCTACTTGGTAGTTACACAATTTTATATTGTAATAATACTACTGTAAACTGAGTTTGTTTTCTTGTTATTTTTATTATTATGTATGCCAGATGCTCAGTAAGAAATGGAAATTCTATTTTATCATATTTTAATAAATCTCAGATTTGTTTGCCAGCTTATTCAGTTTTACATTTTCAATCTATCTAATGCAAATAAAGCTTCATTCTATTCAGGCGCCATGACATCATCATCATCATCATCACCATTCGGACGTAGTGGGCTAAGCCAGTGATGTTGTCCTCTCATTAACTTAAGCCACCTGGCTTCTCAATTTATTGATTATCAATGCAAGACCAAAAAGAAACCTATAGCATATAGTGCTCCCTCTTCCAGTGATCGTCCATCCTCTTCTTAAAGGTTTCTAGGGTCGGTGCACTTACTGCTTTCTGATATAATTTAAAGCCATGCCCTTTTGTAGATCTCACTGTTGACTGATTAAAGAATGTCTCTGCATCATATATCATGGTTAACTAAAATTCATTATCCATTAATCAAATATTTGTATATACTGTACACATCTGATCACGATGTTTCAATTGAAATTCCTTCCTTGGTACATAAATTTTATACATCTGGTAATTAACACCAAAACTATAAAACATAAACCTATTTTTGCAGTAGTATACACTAATGACTTCTTCACTCCTCCTTAGTATACACCTAACTTATTAAGTTTGTCAATATTAATAATCTGTAGTAGCCCGGACAACCATGTTTATACCTTTTCTTTTCTTCATTCTAGATGGTACAGTAGTTCTCTAGTTATCCTTTCTTAAATTTAACATTTAATGGATCATTTTGAAGCTTTGAGAATTTCCAATTATATTCTTTCTTCATTTTTCGTAATATTATTCGATATTTATTTTACAAGCAATTTTAGTAAACTCCATGTATAATTCTTTGTTTATAGGGATAAAGAGAAGCCATCTGTACATTTATTCATTCATTCTTTCATGTCTCCGAGCATAATAGATCAAGTACTGGTTGATGGATTTGGTTCAGACTTTATAGGCTTTTGGCTTATATGCATGTCAAGCCTCTGCTCGAAAAGGAATTTTGAATGAACAAATTTGTACGTGAAATAATTACAACTGGTATCAAGAATTAATGAATATAAAGAACAGTATTTGGAATTTACGCTAAGTTTGATAAAACATGCAATTTTTCAATCACGGTATTTGATCAAATGATCAGCAGGAAATCCTGTTCGTGTATATGCTACATCATAACCAACACAGAATAGCAAAAAGTATATATTTGGCATGATAGATGTTTTATTTATCATATAAATATCTATTAAATTCCTATGCAAATAGTATTCCAAGATGCACTGTTTATAACTATGGTTAATTTAGCACTAGTTTTTGGCAAATTTTTGGCAAAGTTAATTTGTAGATTATTAGCAACTTGTCAATGGACTTTCCCAACAACATTTCTTATTTGATCGAAAAATGGTGTTTGTTTATTCATTGAATTTACATATTCAACTTCCATTTTTCTATACATTGCATTATATGGAGAGCCCTATTCTTGCAACAGTTCAGTCAGTGCTCATACATGTACTTTCCTAATCATTTCTTCTTAATATGGATACCATATATATCTAACAACAGTATAAATGTACATGTACGTTTATGGGTATTTCACTTTATTACCAAGGAGTTATACTTCCTATCGTATATTACATGCTAAGCCTTCTTTAAACCATCTAATTAGGGATGAATTTAGAAAAAGTTAAGAATTTATTGGGAAACCCTGTAATGTGAAATCATGAATAAGATATCCAGTGATGATAAATTCATTCAATTAGCAATGGACAATATTTAAGAAATATAGACCGAAAAGCAGGGGTTATATTGTCGAATACACCCCGCAGGGCTAGGCACAAAGGTTGTCTGGTTCGAAAGCTTTTGTGCCTAGCCCCAAGGGGGGTATTCAACGATATTACCCCTGCTCTGAGGTCTATATTACGATTCGAACATGAAAACTCACCAAATTGTTTCGAATATTCATCATGGTCCGCCATTACTACGACCCACCGTTATGACGTCACACATTACACATATTAACTGGGTTATTGATCTCGAATATAACCCAGCTGAAGCATTGACTTTGTTTACAGTTTATAGAAGGCGTGAATAAAGTCATGTTCGAATGTAATTTAAAACTACATGCATATCTTAATACATCCATTATGTATATAATATATTTATATATTTTAAAATGTATTTGTATACAATATTTATATCATCCATTGACTTCTATTTTCAGAGAATCATTTTATCTCCATATTAGAGCATGCCGCAGAGGGCATATATCCTACAATCAACAGAGGGCATATATCCCACAATCATCTACCAGGATATGTAACATCCAACAGACCAAGCAACAGGCCAATATTTTGGCCCACCCTGTACAATTGAACAGTATTTGTATTCTTAAAGACTCATCTTTCTGTTTAATGAGAAAAACATGCTAAGAAGAATTCACATGTCATGGTTGTTATCATGTTGCATAAGGACTTTCTCTTGTGTAATATAACCAGGATCATTAAAAATATAAGAAATCTTTATTGGACATACACATACTCTATGTTATGTGAACCTGTATTTAATATCTTTAATAACTATGCAATTAAAGTTGGCGTTATGAAATACTTGTTTTAATGGATTGTATGAAGCTTGGTCTACATGTCAATAAAACACCTGCGATTAAGATGTCATGAAAATGATTTTAAATTGATAAAAACAGACAGAGTAAAATTGGATACAGCATACAAATCATATCAGATATATAATGAAGATTAATATAGCAAAGTAATATGAGGCAATAAACCCCCACTTCAATTCCAGAGAATATATACTGGGAGTAAGCTAGTTTGACCAAATTAGTTTAAGACTAGGGTTAAAGACTCTTTTGAAGAGTGATAGATATCGGGAAATTATAAAATATTTGACAGCCATTAGAGGTCTAAAAGGGATTACTCTTAAGAATGTTTGTTGTTCAATAGATCAATTCAAAGACTATAATTATTCCACCTTCATTTCATAAAGACTAATTCACAGATATATTTCTAATGAAGGATTTCAGGTGGTGTTGCAATATGTTAAAAGGTAAAAAATGAACATTGTAATTTGTTGTCATCATGTATAAGCTCATCTTTGTTCACTCGGCTCCTGTCAGTCGATGGACGCTGTGAAGACCGAGCGTTTGAAGATGTGTATAGCTTGAAGGAGAGACACAACAAACTACAATGATAGCTTGTGACAAAAGATAATATAACCAGAGAGAGCATTTCAAAATAAAACTAGTTATTCAAAGTCATCAAACTAGGTCATATAAGCTATATTTTGAGGTACTTACATGAGGGTCATGTTATGGGAGGTTTTGGATATGGGGTATATCCTGACAGAAATATAGATCTTACAGAGGCTATATTTTGAGGTACTTACATGAGGGTCATGTTATGGGAGGGTTTGGATATGGGGTATATCCTGATGGAAATATAGATATCTTACAGAGGGCCAGGAGGGTCCGAGGTAAGATATCATATTTCCATATTCCTATGGGATAAATGGACAATGCTATGGTTGTGAAAAAATATCAATTATATTCACTCATGGATATCAATATCTTCACGACTGAAGATATAAATTTTTTTTTTTAAAACCATAGTATTTTCCTATATAAACAGTACTAAACTGTAAAAATGTTATGTGCCTGATTATGTAGTGCAGGATTTTTATTATGAAAATAAAACTTGACGATTCTTACAACGTGAGAATTAAATCTACTTATTATTACTCCATCATGGAATCAGCGGAGGCATGATTTCACATTGTGTATGATACAAGCAATCCATTAGATATAAATACATTGGGTTATTACATGATCAAATTAGTAGCAGCTTTCTCAAATGAATCAACGATTGGTAAACTTCCTTTCCATTATGTGATTTCCTGAGCAACGTTCATAAGAGGATATATGGAATCATTAATACTTCAATTAAACAAGTAAATTGTGAATAAGTTTCATCCTTTTTTATACAGTGATGAATGTATACCATACAGGCTGTCCAATAAATAAGGTGAATAAAGGTAAAAAGGTTTGGCCTACAAACTCTGAAAATTTCATCAAGATTGGTGCAATATTAAGAAAGTTACAATATCTTTCACCTTATTTATTGGACACCCTGTATATCTTGCATTAAGTAATAACACAGAGGAGAAAATATTGCATCTTTCTTTGAATTGTATGGCTGATTGCTGGTAATAATTCAAGATCAGGATAAGTAAAAACAAGGCACAGACATGAACAATATCGTACCTAAAACACAGCAGTGTGACAGTGAAGAATTTAGGACGGAAAATCCAAAATGGCCACCTTAAAATTTACCCAGAATGCCCAAAAACTAATCAGTTCTTAATTTTGATACGTAGAAACATCCCTGAAAATTTCAGATGAATCCATCAAATGGTTTGGCTGGAAACCTGTAGACAAGTCTTGAAAGTGAAGATTTTAGGATGGAAAATCCAAAATGGCCACCTTAAAATTAACCCAGAATGCCCAAAAACTAATCAGTTGTTAACTTTGATACGTAGAAACATTCCTGAAAATTTCAGATGAATCTGTCAAATGGTTTGGCTGGAAACCTGTAGACAAGCTGATAAGTGAGACGCCACCCGCCCGCCGCCCGCCGCCCACCCGCCCGCCGCCCGTCAAGCTGACGACAATATCGTACCTTTATTAGGTACGATAAAAATACCGACTTGGGCAAGGCTAGGGTGTAACCTTTTTGTTACTTTTGTTTTATGCCACCAACACAAGATGTGACATATTGTTATAGTCTCCAACTTATTTGTGGAGGCAGTTGCTGTTGGGCGGTTGATGTTTGGCATTCAGCATCTGTAACAAATGGCAGGTGCCAGGTGGTGACATTTTGCATGTTAATGCCTGGTTTACTTCTTGTATTATATGATGTTACAAGGTATTGACGCA